TCGAGGATGATGAATGATTCAGCTATCGGTTTCTGATCATGAACAAGAACCGGAACCTTCTTATGAACCGGGTTCAACTCCAGAAGAAGATTGCTCTTGTTGAAGATATCTTCTTCTACATACTCATACTCAACACCCTTGAGTTTCAAGGCCCACTCAACCCTTTTACCAAACGGACTTACCCAAAAGCTTAACAGCTTCACATCTTGGCTTCCCATGATTTTGTTTCAGAAGTTTATTTCCTTCGTTTCTTCAATGTGTCTGTGTTATTAGTGTGTTTGTGGGTTCTCCTCGTAACTTCACAAAACTATCAATGTCATTTTCTAGACTCTAGACTCTAGAGACGGCAAATTATGTACTAAAATTTTTTTTTTAAATAAAAGAGACGGCAAATTTGACCGATTGTCATCTGATTACACGGTCAATTGGTGCCGTGTTTTGCACGGTCCTCGTAACTTTCCAACCACGTGTTTTGCTTTTTGATTTTTATGAGGAATAAGTATATTTTACTTTGGGTTATATATGTATCAAGTTATAGAAAAAAGTTCAACTTTCTCACAGACACGTATAAAGTATGGTCCGTATATTTTATTTTTGCTTTTTTCATTTTACTTTATCTCTTTATTTTCTTCTCTCTGTAAGAAGAGAGAGAATTTATCCTAAAATATGATAAGTTATTCTCCCTTTTACTTTTTACTTTTCTGGCGTTTGAAAACCGACACAATTTTTTTTTTCATTTTCACAATTTTTTTTCAAAAACAAACTGTAGATCGATTAATATTGTGATTTCGTGAAGTGCAGTAATCGTATATGTAATAAAGTGATAAAAGTAAGATTATGAATACCATAAAAATTGATTATGAAGCAATAACTTATCTAAGTAATTAAAATTGAATCTATCCTGAAATAATTTTGTTGAGTGAATTAATTTAATTATAATTTTTTTTTAAAGAACTTGTTTTTAGTTTTTAATATTAAGAAACCAAGAATTAAATTCAAGAACTTATTTGTCAATATAAAGAACAAGTTTTTAAAGAACCTGATTTTCGAATTATATTAACAATTTTTTTTGATAAACTCTTATAAATTTATATTATGTCCGATCGGTAATACTTTTTTGAGTAAATTGTGATCATTCAGATACAGTATAATTTGTAAGTTTGTAAAAAAAATTTGTCAATATAATCCTTTTTTTCACTAACAAGATAGTAAATTATATCCTACAAGTATTTCTCCGATGGACCATAATTTTGACCAAATGGCATTTACTTGAGAAAGACATTTGTCACCTTTCTCTCAATTTCCAACCATGTAATTTTCTTTTTGATTTTTGTGTGAAAATTCTTAACCAAGAAGGACCAATGAATTAAAATTTAGAAATTGATCATCTCATATGAAAAAGGGATATTGTAATCATATTATTTAATCATAATTACTGATTGATAATGAGATAAGAAAGACAATAACATATAACTCTTAAATAAATAATTCTAATCAAATAATATAATAACATAGCCATTTTTTCACATTAGAAAATCTAAATTCTTAAAATTTGGATCTTTAATTTAAAGTTGAAAAGACTGTCTAAACCTACTAAATCTGTCTTTTTGTAGTAAAAAAAACCTACTAAATCTATCTACAATGTACTCTATGAGTCTATGTATTAAATTAAAACTTAATCTAATAAGGATAACTTGATTTCTTAATCTACTGTATTTCAGATCTCACACGTTATTTTTAAAAAATATAATTTATTATTATTTTTTAATTATGTGTGTCTTTTAGAATTTTAACTTTCTAAAATTTGTATATATTTTTAGATATCAACTAATATCCACAATTCTAAAAAATCCGAGTAATTTGATTTTGCGCTAGTACTTTTACACTCTCCTTAAGAATTGTGACTCTTCCGTTAGAGTTTTGGCAATTCTTTTCTATGAAATCCTCTGTTTCTTTTTTATTTTTATTTAATACATTTACTCTTTTTCTTCTGAATGTACCTTTGCTTTGCTTTGCTTACTATCTATTTTTTTATACAGCGTTTAATATCTATTTATATATAATATATTTGAGGTAGGCAGGCTTAACTTATATTGATATAAAAATAAGGAGTATTACATCTAATCCTAATTATTATTCAGATTGTATCTAATGACTTATATATTTATTAAATTAAATTTATTAGATATAAATGAAATTAACCACTAAGATTGGGAAGCCAATTTATGATGTAAAATGACCCGTCCCAATATATTTATCTAATATGACATACTAAATTACTACTGTTATAAATTTTTCAAAAGTATTAAAATTTCTACAACGTGAAAATTAAATTTTCGTTTTTTATGGTTTTTCTTGTTATATATAAGAATTAATTATAAAGCTAATATAAATGTAATTTATATTATTTGTAATGGAAAGAATGATAATATTTTAAAAATAAATTTTGTAATAAAAAATTTTAAATATAAAATATCACATACATAAAATATTAATTTAGAGTTATTTATGGAAATGTAAAATAATAGTAAATAAAACATTAAATAAAACAGAATATTTACGTAAGAGTTTCTTATGTGAGTGCTCTTTTCTCTTTTCCCAGCTAGAATTATTGGTGATATCTAGGCGGATGTGTCAGTGAAATTTAACTGAATTTTTTTAAAAGTTAAATCGAATTAATTTAAAAAATTCCGTTCGATTTAAAAAAAATTTGGTAAAATATAAAATGGTTTGATTCAGTTTAAAAATGATTCATTTCGATTCGGAATCAGTTTGTGTCAAATATATTTTAAAAAGAAAATAAATAAAATAAAAAAATTAAAGAAATAAAATAATAAAACGCTTCAGTTTAGTTTGAAATCAATTTGGTTCGGTTCTAAAATAGTTTGATTCAATTCGATCCTTAAATTGATTTCTAAAAATCAGTTCAGTTTATAATTTTTTTTTCAAAATTAATTATTTTAAGTGTAGTTCAGTTTTGTTCATTTCTTTTTTCGCACCCCTAGTGATATCTAAATTTAAAAACTTCCAATTATTTCTTATTACTTTTATAAACATTTATTACTTTTTAAGCTTCAAAATAAAATAAATAATTTGATTTTTCCTTCTATTTTCCCTTTTCCATTTACTTTTCAGATAATCACTATTTTCTTTATTTATCATATACACAGTGAAAACCATCATCTTCTTTTTTTTTTTTTTTTTTTGATAACAAAAACCATCATCTTCTTTACTATAACGACTGTTGCTGAGCACTGGTTATCTTTACGCTAGTGTCTAATAACTCAATTAGTTGACACACTTGCACTCTTTATATCACCGTCTTTTGATTCTCGTATAATTATTGTGTTTTATCTTTTCTTACATTAGTATTAATTATAGTCTTAATTTTAATCTTTAATTTCATTTGTATCTAATATTTACTTTATTAATAAATTAAAATTGTTAGCTGAAAGTAAATTAATAATTACTATTGAGTATAAAACTTATCATTTTTACATCAATATTAAATAATATTCCCCCCTAATATACAAAAGTGACCCCACACAACAATGTTTTGAGCCAAACACAATAATAATTGAAATCAATGATATTTTCCCAACTTGCTTGCCATTTGCGAAATTAATCAATACGGCAATTTTTTATGGTATATCTAATATTTACGAATCAACAACCATCAATTTCTTGACATGGACGCGTTGGTGATAGTTTTACGCGACTTTTCTCAAAAAGCATGGAAAAGCTGATACGGAGAAATATTACTACCATATTTGGGACGCGACTTCCTATAAATTTGCTGCGCTAGATTGCATTATGGGAAAATGGTCCCACCTTTGTTAAATGGTCTTCTTCGTAAAAAAGGTGGGACCCATAACTTTATTTTTTTTTGTCAATTCTATCTCTTCTTTTATCTATTCCTTTCTCTCTCTTAAAATGACACAACTTTACATCATTTTAAATGACACACACTTTATCCATGTTTTAATTATATATGTGGACAGAAAAGGTAACCAAATTGAGCAACTTGAACACTAATATTGAATAAAAAGGTAAAGGTGAGGTTAATTTGGTAAAATAACCTCACATTCTCACTAATATTTCATAACCAACCAAACACAAATTCAGTAAAATTAACTTCATTTTTCCGGAAAAATATTGATCTACCAAACAGCTTTTTAGTAACATTCCAGTAAGATATATTATCCGCTATATTCCGGTAATAATTATTTCTCAGATAAAAAAATTTATCTTTTACCAAACGCCCCCTAAGGATGTTAACAGGCCGAGTCAGATTGAACTTTGGTCTTAAAAAGTTAAGTTTATATTTAAATGTGTCAGTTTAACCTAATTTATTACATGTTATGAATATAATTATCAGAAAATAGTCTGACTTATTTATAAAAAAATATAAACCTGATTTAGCTTGTTAAAACAAATAAGACAACAAAAATTTATCCAAACAGAATATACGATAAACAACACTAATAATTTTACAAATATTATATTATTCACTTTGTACAGATATTATACAATAAATACAAGTATTCTCTGAAATACTCCCTGAACCCTAAATCCCTTTTTCATCTTTATCTTTTCACCTCTATTTCTGATACCTTAGGAAAGGATTTTTGCAAGTGGGAGCGGTTATCATCTGGGCCAGAGCCCAAAACAAAATATTATGCTATCTATGCAATTGGGAGGTTCCAATATAATCGTTAAATTGACCCAATATATCTTCTCAGTCAAGTGCTTACATCTAATCCAAAAATAATATAAAGTCAGTATCAGATTTAGTCGAGGAAGACAAATTTTCGCTCATATTTAGCAGTAAATAATTAATATATTATTATGCATTGAATATTGTTTTGGTTGGAATAACAGGAGTGAAAGAAAATTTCTATTTTCACCCACTCCTTTATTAAGTGCAAACCCTAACTTTAATATTAATTAAAATGCTTTCCCTAGTATATATATATATATATATATATATATATATATATATATATATATATATAGCTCCCATCTTAATGTCACACCATCATGAGCTCTTACTTCATACGTAGTCTTGTTCATCACAATATATTCTTAACTCTCACCATCGTGCTCAGTCCTGCACAATATATACCATTTACTCATCAAACCTTCAGTCTTGGACAGAAGAAATAGATATCATGTTAATTCTCGACTAGAGAGATAATTTAAAGACATCGAATTATGGACTTATTGCCATCAACAATTGTAACATACGAGTAGGATAATTTGACATCGAGTTGACCAACGTCACTCAGAGCTAGCTATAGAGTTAGATATAATGTAAGGCTTGCACAACAACTTAATCCCACAACACCCATTTACAGAAATAAACAAACATACGGATACAACAAAAAAAGGGGTTTGTAATGGACTAAAGACCCCAAACAACAAACCTAGATATTTAATTATTCCCTCTTGCCCACTCCCAAGGTTTATACAGCCTTTATGTAACAAAAGATATTATTCTATAAAAAAGATCAATTTAACTCTTCTAGAATAAAGAGTTTAATTAAACGAAAAAAATAACATATCTTAATTATTGATTCGAAAAATAGAGAGAGTAATTTCTAATAAATTAATAATTTGTCAAAGACATGCATGTGCTTTAATATAATATCCACGATTGATTCTCATCAGCCCTTAATATACTCTAAGTACTCTTTTAAAAGTGAAATTTCATTTTAAAACTTTCCGATATACTTGACCCAATGCTTGTCCAACTATGTCAATCTACAAATATCATGGACCGTATCACATGCACATTAAAAAGCATATATATGAAAGAATTGATCTAAACCTTGAGCAAATCATGATGGGTAGAAGACCATTTGTTTCTGAGATTGTTGTAGTAAACAAGCATCTTGTTTCTTGGGGGCAAGCTGTCCTTGATCACAGGGTGGCTGAGAAAATTGGTCATCCATGTAGTAGTGGCTGAATATTTCAAAGGGTCTATTATGTGCATAGATCCAACTTCCTCCCAAACCGGAAGCCAGTAAGAGATCCATCCAAGTGCAATGTCAAGGTACCCAATATTGTCCCCTCCAAAGAATTTCTTACCCTTAATCTCTCCTTCTATCTTCTCCATTGCTTCTCTGGCTACATTCAGAGCCTTCTCCTGTTCATCCCCACTGGTACACGTTGCAACCCATGCTGCACCCAAAAGCTATCACATATATACAAGCCAGGCATTGAAAAATAAGTTAGTGAATAGAATTTGGTTTTTGTATATCCCAAAAACAAAGTGGCAAAAATAACTATTTTTTAACAATTTTGAAGCCCAAAAATAGTTGGAGAGGTTACTGCTAGTGAACTTTTGTTGTTATTCAGAGCTTGTCTGTTTAACTTCAAAACTTCGAACATGATACGGACAATTAAGATAATATTTAGAGAATAAATGATGGAGTAACATAAAACAACAATACAATGGTCATCTTAACTTCTAAAATTCAGAAACAAAAGAGCCATTGAGAATTTGCTATAATCTTTCAGTAAATTTGCTATCACCAAGTTTGTTTTAAAACCCATGCAGCCTTCGCAAGCTATTACATATGTACAAAGCACTGAAAGCAGGCGAAAAACAAGTTATTGAAAGTGAGGTTTTGAATTAAAAAAAAATTAAAAAAATAACATTGGAAGCATCTCTGTTTTATCAGAGCCAGGTTTCGATCCTGGGACCTGTGGGTTATGGGCCCACCACGCTTCCGCTGCGCCACTCTGATTGTTGTAATTATCTCTCATAATACATATTTAATAAACGATAGTTTAGTTTAGCATGTTTTAAAGCATAATATTCACGCAATAAATGATAGAACGAACAATACTAAAATTTTCATTTAAATTTCTAAAAATTCGAAAAAGAAGACGAATAAGAAAAGTAAAGAGGATTAGGTATATATATTACCTTTTGTTCAACAGAAATAGCCCAAAAGCGAGCAATAGCTCTTTGATAAGGATGGTGAGGTAACAATGGATATTGCTTCCATATTTCATCAATGTATTCGAGGATGATGAATGATTCAGCTATCGGTTTCTGATCATGAACAAGAACCGGAACCTTCTTATGAACCGGGTTCAACTCCATAAGAAGATTGCTCTTGTTGAAGATATCTTCTTCTATATACTCATACTCAATACCCTTGAGTTTCAAGGCCCACTCAACCCTTATGGCAAATGGACTCACCCAAAAGCTCACCAGCTTCACATCTTGGCTTCCCATGATCTTTGCTTCAGAACTTGATTTCCTTGGTTTCTTCTCTGAGTCTCTGTTATTAATGTGTTTTTTTTTTTGTAAACATTAATGTGTTTGTTTGTTCTCATCGTAACTTATCAAAAACATCAATGTCATTTTCTAGACTCTAGAGACGTCAAATTTGACCATACTGCCATCTGATTGATTGGTACGGTCACTTGGCGCCGAGGGTGTGCCAAATAAACAAAAAATTGAACCGAACTATGAATCAAACCGAATTTTTCTTAAAATAATCAATTTTTTAAAATCAGTTTACGAACTGAAACGATTTTTAAAAAATCAGTTCATGAACCGAACCGATTTTTAGAACCAGTTTAAGATCCGAACCGTTTTCAAACCGAACCAAATTAATTTTATAACTTTATTTTTTAAAATTTTAATTTTTCTCTTTTCAAAAGTGGGTCGACCCGAACTGTTTCCGAACCAGTTCTGAATCGAACTGTTTTCCACCGAGTCGAACCACTTCCGAACCGAACCAATTTTGAACCGAACCACTTCCGAACCGAACTATTTAAATCAATTCGATTCGATTTTTAAAAAAAATTAATTCAGTTCAACCCATGCACATCTCTACTTTGCGCCTTTGTCTCAGTATCCATCAACATGTCTTTATCTAATCATTTAGACTTTATGTCACATTTATTACTATTTTATAGGATTTTATAATAGTTATGTTGTAGGGAAAGTGATTGTGTAATGTTATAAAGATTCGTTTTGCGTGCCTTAGTTTTTTTTTTTTTTTGCTTCAATGTGGGTCCCGCAAAATGTTGTATGTGTAAGAAATTATTTTGTGTCATGTGACATGATAGATACAAACCCTATTTTATATTAAGTAATTATATGAATATAAATGTTTACAAGTATTTCATTTTTTAAATAATAATATGTAATTTGTAATTGATTTAACCTATATAACTAAAATTTTAATATTTTCATGTTAGAAGAAGATAAGATTATTTCTTAGATATGTATAAAAATATATGAGTTTCAAATTTTTTTCCTCTTGTCCTTATATGACCTCATATAAAAATCATATTATATATATATATATATTGAGAAATATTATACTATGTAAATTATATCTTGCAAGTATTTCTTCTGAGTACCACAATTTTGACCAAATGGCATTTACTGAGATAGACATTTGTCACCTTTCTCTCAATTTCCAACCATGTGTTTTCCTTTTTGATTTCTGTGTGGATTTTGTTAACCAGGAAGAACCGGTGAATTACAATTTGGATCTTTAAAGTTGAAAAGACTGTCTAAATCTACTAAATCTATCTACAATAAACTCTGTATTAAATTAAAACTTAATCTAATAAGGATAACTTGATTTCTTAATCTACTGTATTTCAGAGATGACACGTTATTTTTAATTTTTATTTTATTTTTTAATTAATTATGTATGTCTTTTAGAATTTTAACTTTCTAAAATTTATATACTTTTTAGATACCAACTAATATACACAACCCTAACGAGTCCGACTGATCTGATTTCATACTAATCGTTTTGTACTCTTCTAAAAAATTACGACTCTTCCGTTAGAGTTTCGACACCGGTTCATATCTAAATATAATTAAATTTATATTTTTAAATTTACTGAATTTGTTATTCATATTATACTTATAATTTTTAAATTTTATGGTTAAATTTATATTTTAAAATTTTCTCTAAATTTAAGTATACTTGTTTAATTTACAATTACTTGTTAATACTTATTACTTAATAAATGGACTATCTAATTTTTATCTAGAGAAATTAGTCGCGTCACTCTAGAAACTGGAGGCTTTGCTACTTTTGAACAATATGATTCGATTTGAAAATGATTCGGTTAAATTTGATTTTTAAACTGGTTTTTAAAAATTAGTTCGGTTCTTGAATTGATTTTTAAAAATCAGCTCGATTCATGAACTATTTTTTAAAAATTAATTTTTTTTAACACCCCTACTGATATCTAAATTTTAAAAACTTCCAATTATTTCTTATTGTTTTTATAAACATTTATTACTTTTTCAACTTGAAAATAAAATAAATAATTTGATTTTCTCTTTTCCATTTACTTTGCAGATAATCACTATTTTCTTTATTTGTCATATGCACGGTGAAAACCATCATCTTCTTTACTATAACAACTGTTGTTGAGCACTGGTTATCTTTACGCTAGTGTCTAACTTAATTAGTTGATACACTTGCACTCTTCATATCACCGTCTTTTGATTCTCGTATAATTATTATGATATATATATATATATATATATCTGTAATTTTATTTATTTTTTATTATATACATTTTACTGAAATATCTTCATCAATTCACTTAAAATTATAGAAACATCCTTCATTAATCAAAACGACGTAATTTTTGGAGTAGCTGTAGATGACCTTATCTAAAGTGACTGTAAAAATATTTTTTCATGTATATATATATATAGACAGGATCCTTTGACACCGGTGTCAAAAAAAAAGTTTGACACCTCATCTGAGAGTCGTTAGATTAAAAAAAATCAACGATTCTGATTTGTAAGCATGTGACACCATTGATTTTTTTTAATCTAACGGCTCTCAGATGAGGTGTCAAACTTTTCCTTTGACACCGGTGTCAAAGGATCCTGCCTCATATATATATATATATATATATATATTTATATATATATATTTATAAGACAAATTATTTTACATTAGTATAAATTATAGTTTTAATTTTAATCGTTAATTTCACTTGTATCTAACATTTACTTTATTAATAATTTAAAATTTTTAGCTGAAAGTAAATCAATAATTAATATTGAGTATATAAAACTTATCATTTTTACATCAATATTAAATAATATTCCCCCCTAATATACAAAAGTGATCCCACACAACAATGTTTTGATCCAAACACAATAATAATTGAAATCAATGATATTTTCCCAACTTGCTTGCCATTTGCGAAGTTAATGAATACGGCAATTTTTTATGGGAAATCTTTTTATTTTTTATGTTGTTAGAGACGAGTTATTTTATGTTAGTAAAACATAATTATAAGAAGGATTCGCAGGTAATTGAAGAAAAAAATAGAGTTGGGATCCATCTTTATTATGTGTGTGTATAGGAATATGAATTATCTCATATTAAATGAGATAAATATAATCCATTTTTTATTATATATCTAATATTTTTGAATCAACAACCATCAATTTCTTGACAGGACGCATTGGTGATAGTCTTCTTCATCGATCAAGTAATCATTGCAAATTGTTGGCGATCACAACAAGTGCACCGGTCGTACAAGTAATATAATGTATTGAGTAAGAGATCGTTCCCATGAGGATTATAATTCAATCACTAGTTCACTATTTTTACTTAAGTTGGACAATTGAAATTGAATTTGTAGCAGGATTTGATTTGAAATATAAAATATTTAAATTAATTAATAACAAGAATAAAAACAAGAAATTAAAGATTTGATTACTGATAGAAATTAAACGTAACTAGGGTTTCGATTTCTTTCAATCTCTATATTACGTCTGAGTTCCTTCTTTGTGTTAATCGTCCTTAATATCAATCCAATCGATTCTTTCTAATGTAATTAGGATTCAATCTCTCTGCACCCTAAATAAATCTTTATAATCTTGCAAGAACCCTAGTTCTCCGGTTATTTACCAAGAAATTAAGCATTAAGTTCAAGAATCATATGACTGCGCAAAACCCCTATGTCTATCCCTATAATCATAAGGATTACGATGAAATTGTCAGATACATATCATGCACCAACATTCCTATTGTCATGCATTTACCTAAGATAAATATATAAGATTCAAGCTCATATAAAAGCATTGTGAAAAGAGAATTTCATTCATGATAAAAAGAAAAATTAACATAAAGAATTATTCAAGACATAACAGATTGATTAAATTTCATCTAACCCTAACTACTTAAAGATTTACCAGCCATGGTGAAATCAAGAAAGAAAAGAATTAAGAAAGTTCCCCCAAATTTCCATATTAGAATGGGAATTCTTCAATAACTCCAGTGCAGACTTGATTTTGATCTATCTCCGACCTTCAAGAACATGGACCGGGTGTTTCTCCGTGTTTCCTCTGTTCCCAATAGCCAAGAATTCTTCAAGAATATGAAAAAGTTTACTAATTCTGCCCCAAATTATGTTTTTGTGGGTAAGGAATCTGTGCCCTAGGTGGATATTTCAAGTGAGTCTAAGTTAGGTCTCTGGGGCGCTTAAGCGCGCTATGAGGCGCTTAAGCCTCCTAAATTATGCATGAAAATTTCACGTGGCGCGCTTAAGCGTGCTGATGGGCGCTTAAACGCCCACTTCGAATAGGAATTTTATTATTGGTCCGCGCTTAAGCCTGAATTCGGCGACTTAAGCGCCCCTCAGGCAGTGAGTTTTTGCTTATTTTTGAATATTCGGGGCTTAAGCCCCAGATTGGAGGCTTAAGCCTCCTCTTCGAGAATTTGACTTTCTTCATTTTTCTTCAAATAAGATATTCGTATCTTCAATTCTTAATCTACATCTCTCCAATCTTAATATTTGCTTCTAATTATCATCAAATACCTTCAAAATAAGCAAATATAAGTTATTTAATTCATAATCACATAGTTCATGTATTTTATATCAAAACTCTAGTTTTTCACCTGTTTAGCTTGATAATTCATCTGATTTTAGTCTATAAAACAAGATAAACTAAAGGTTTATCACAAATCATTTTCATTTGTTAGACTAGGGATCCACAATAGTTGGTAAAAAGGATTAAGGGTGTTAACATGCAGAGTCAGATTGAATTTTGGTCTTAAAAGATTAAGTGTGTTTAAATATATCAATTTAGCGTACCTGTTATAAATATAATTATTGGTATTTACAAAAACTAAAAATTTGGTTTAGCCTATATTAAAAAAAATAAGACAACTCAACAAGAGTAATAATTTCATAAAGATTCATAAATTCAATGTATATTCTTTTTTTGGTAAGCAAATTCAATGTATATTCAAATAGCATAATATAGAATAAA